CGCAGACCGCGGTCCTGGGCCGCCAGGCTGGACACCCCTTTGTGCGTGGGCTGAGGGCACAGCTGGGACGGGGCCCCGGAGACCGGGGAGGCCTCCAGCTGCCTCCTGCCCCCTCTGCACACTGGGCACGACCACGAGTGTGTGGTTGTCCCTCCCAGTCTGCGCAGGCATGACACACCCCTAGGAACGCAAGGCCGTCCCGGGAGCTTGGAGGGGTGCCTGGTCACCTGGAGTCTACGCTCAGTAGGTGAGACGACCCCAGAGACCTCCCCGCCCTGCCGCCCCGGGCCAGGTGGCCGTCCTCCCTGGACAGGTCGGACGAGACCTTCCCCTGCCTGGGGCCTCCGTTGCACGCGGTCCCCTGCTATGACGTGCTTGACAGCCGGAGGGGTCTTTTCTGAATGCCAGCACAGTCCTTTCGCCCCTTGCTTAAAAGCTCGTGGAACAAAGACCCCGATCGGGGCCACATCGAGCTGTCACCCTGCCGCCAGCACTGCTTCCTCCCCTTCTGTCCCTCTGTTAGGGTGGAGCTCAGGTGTCACCTCTCCCACCCCCATCACCTCCTGTCACCCCGTCACCCCCACCAGCACCCCACACCCTGGCAGCACCCGTCACTGATCTGATTCTGTTGCCGTGCGGTTGTTCGGTCAGTCTCCGTCTCCTCTGCCGGCCTGGGAAACTGGCGACCGCTGTCCCGTCTGCTTTACGTTCCGTGGTGGCCACGGGGCTGGCGCACGTTCAGCGCGTGAGGGACGGTGCCCGCCTCGGCGCTGTTGATATTTAAGCCCGTTGCGTGCCACAGCCCCGAGCAGAGGCCGCAGACTTCTGTAAAGAACCAGGTAGAGGCCGGGCACGGAGGCTCACGCCTGTAATCCTAGCACTCTGGGAGGCCAGGCGGGCGGATTGCTCGAGGTCAGGAGTTCGAAACCAGCCTGAGCCAAGAGCGAGGACCCCGTCACTGCTATAAGTAGAAATAAATTAATTGGGCCAACTATCATATATATACGAAAAACTTAGCCGGGGCATGGTGGCGCATGCCTGTATTCCCAGCTACTTGGGAGGCTGAGGCAGGCAGGATCGCTTGAGCCCAGGAGTTTGAGGTTGCTGTGAGCTAGGGCCTTGATGCCAGCACTACTCTAGGCCATGCGGCAACAAAAGGGGAGCTCTGTCTTCAAGAAAAAAAAAAAAAAAATTAGACCGGGTAGAACCTATTTTGGCTCTGTGGGCCTTCGGCCAGTCATGCGGACTCACTCCGCTGTCCTGCGAAGGCGGCACAGACCGTGCGTAAGGGATCCGGCGCGGCCGCGTCCCCACGCGACCTTTTTTTTATAAAAACAGGCCGGATTGGGCCCCGGGGCTGGAGTTTGCAGACCGCCTAACCTCGAAGGTCCTGGCGTTTGGCTTTCTGGGGGTGAGATTTGGTTTTGCCTGTGTGTCCTTGGCAAGGCAGTTCCCATCTCTAGACCTCAGTTTCCTCGTCTACGAAATGGGGACAGCAACACTCATCTCTTAGGCAGTGGCTGTGAGGACCGCAATGTATTATTTTAATCTCTCTCAAGTGCTTAAGACAAGCCCGCTAGAGTCCAGGGGTCCTGAAACTTTTTAAACAGGGGGCCAGTTCACTGTGTCCCTCAGACCGTTGGAGGGTTGGACTATAGTTTAAAAAAAAACTATGAACAAATTCCTATGCACACTGCACATACCTTATTTTGCAGTAAAAAAACAAATAGGCAAAAACACCCGCATGTGGCCCTCGGGCTATGGTTTGAGGATGCCTGTCCTAGACCCTCATCAGCTCTCCTTCCTGACACCTCTGGGAGGAGTAGACGCTCTGGGAGACGACTGCATTCTTCAGCCAGCATTTATTGAGCATCTACGGTATGCTAGGCCCCCAAGGGAGACAGTAGTGACTTCTCTCCTGCAAGGTAGACAGCGGCCCGTGGGAAAGAGAGTGGAGCCAGCCCAGCTGCCGAGCGCCCAGGTCCATTATTCTGGGCCTTTGCTTCGCTGGTGGTTAAATGAGCCTGCAGCTGGCACGGTGGCTCATGCCTGTAATCCCAGCACTTTGGGAGGCCAAAGTAGAAGGACCACTTGAGGCCAGAAATTTGAGGCCAGCCTGGGCAGTATAGCAAGACCCTGCCTCTACAAAAAATAGTAAAAAAAAATTAGCTGGGTGTGTGGCAGTGTGTGCCTGTAGTCCCAGCTACTCTGGAGGCTGAGGCAGGAAGATGGCTTGAGCCCAGGAGTTTGAGTTACAGTGAGCCATGATGACGCCACTGCACTCCAACATGGGCTACAGAGTGAGTGAGACCCTGTTTCCAAAGAAAGTAGTAAGAAATAAAAAAACAAAAAAATCCTTTAAAAGCACAGGTGGCTCCCCAGAGATTAGGTGGTGAAGTTCTCGGAGCCTCTGAGGGGACAGGGGCGGAAGACAGCCCAAACACCTGCAGCGGCGTCCCCCCGTGGTGTTTGCTCTTCCGTAAACCGGAGATTGCCGGTTGGCGCCGGGCCGAATGCAGCCTGCAGGTGTGTGTGTGTTTGGTCTGCTTAGCATTTACATTTTTAGAACAATTAATTGCCAACATTGGAAATGGGATCTGATCACACTGGGCCTCAAATCCCAACTGACAACAGCAGGCTAGAAATGAGTACGTGGCGATCCTCTAACTTCATTTAATTTAATTTGGCTCTTTCTAAAACCACATCTGCTTAGTCCCACACGTTTTTCCTCCTTTCTTGGACCCTTCTTGTTCTTCCTCCATCTTCGTCCTAAAACAAAGTCGTGCGTTTCTCTAAAGATGCACGACAGGGCCGGGCGCGGTGGCTCACACCTGTAATCCTAGCACTCTGGGAGGCCGAGGCGGGAGGATTGCTTGAGCTCAGGAGTTCGAGACCAGCCTGAGCAAGAGTGAGACCCTGTCTCCACTAAAAATAGAAAGAAATTAATTGGCCAACTAATATATATAGAAAAAAAATTAGCTGGGCATGGTGGCGCATGCCTGTAGTCCCAGCTACTCGGGAGGCTGAGGCAGGAGGATCGCTTGAGCCCAGGAGTTTGAGGTTGCTGTGAGCTAGGCTGACGCCACGACACTCACTCTAGCCTGGGCAACAAAGCAAGACTGTGTCTTAAAAAAAAAAAAAAGGACTAGAGGTAAAAAGCACCTACTGCGTGCCAAGCCTCATGCCGAGGTTTGGGAACAAAATAGACTACTGCTAGGACACCCCCTTTGGACAAGACTCAGACACTTAATTTGCTCTCCCCGATAAAGCCCACCTGCTAACCCTACCTGTGCACACTGGGGCTTACCGTCCTTGTTTGGAAGGTCCCACGTGCACCTGTCCCCAACCTCTTGCCCTGTAAGTAGAAGAGTGTGGACTGTGCTCTAACCCCTCAATCTTGGGACCATCTTCTCATGACTGCTATGTTCCGAGGGTGGCTTCTGCAGCCACACAGAGACGGGAAGTGACTTCTCTCAGCGCCTCTGGTTCTCGCACCCAGGCTAAGAACAGGGAGGTCGAAGCCACTCTGAAAGTCATCCGGAAAGTCGGGCTGCACTTCAAGGGCCTGCACCGTGACAGGTCTCAGCTCGGAGAAATCGGGCACAGCCTGGCCCTGGGGGTGGCCCGGGTACCGTCCTACCCGGTACCATCACCGGGCCGGGCCGCCACTGGGCTGTGTCCTCCAGGCAGAGCTTGGCTGTTGGCAGGAGTGAAGGGTGCTGCTGTCTGGGTCTTGCCAGCTGGGGCTCCCCCAGGCCCTGAGCTTGAAGGGGGGGGCATCATCTGTAAACCGAGTCCCCAAGGAGCATCCAACTTCAGCGTAGACAGACGCTCAAGCTGCCGTCGGCCGCGGCGTCACATCCCGGGTCAGGAGGCTGAATTATGCTTGCCGAGGGAGGAAGGGGTTTCGTGTTAGGGCGAAGGTGCCTATGTGGGTGGCCGAGGAGGTGGCGAGGTGGCCCCACACGGCTCTTGTCTTGCGGTGTGCCTGTGACGAGTCAGGACACGCTGTTGTCATGAGCACACGTTTGCTTTACCGGGAAGGGTCAGCGGCAGTTGGCGTCTCAGCTCAGCGTGGCTCTGCTCCACACGGTCCCCCGGGATCCAGCCTTCCCCCCCTCGCCCCGGCAGGTGGGTGCGGGCAGAGAGGGTGGCAAATGATGCAAGAGCTTTCTGTGGGCCCCTGAGTAGCACAAGTCACCTCTGTCCACGTTCTCATCTCGCCACCCCGCCTAGCTGCAAGGGAGTCTGGCATGTGCGGTTTTAGCTGTGCATCCAGGAGAAGGACACGCGGCTTGGGGAGTAGACAGTAGCTGCTGTAGGTGTACTTGCTCATTCACTCATTCCCATGTGGATCGTGTCTCTGCCGTGCGCCATGCTCTGTGCTGGGGACTGGGGTTGCACAGGGGCCCCTGACTCTGCCCCCGTCTCCAAGCAGCTTTCGGTCTAGCGGGCTTTTCGCTTCATATGAGCTTTATGATATGATTCCCAGCTCCACTGTTAACCAGCTGTGTGGCCTCAGGTGAATTACTTAACCCCCTTGAGCCTCAGTTTTGCCAGCTGAGAAATGGGGATAGCATTAAATAATCCCGGCCCAGCAGAGCACTGTGGAGAGTCAAAGGGGATGACAGTCATGAAGCTGGTAGCACAGCGCCTGGTTCACGGTCAGGGTCAGACAGGCAGCGGGGATGTGGGAGGTGTGAGCAGACACCACAGCAGGGAAGGGGGGGGCCCAGAGAGGTCTTCCAGCCCCCTGTCCGGGGCCTCCTTGCCCAAGCTTCCTTCCCGTTAGCGCAGCCTGAGTAAGATTTGGGGCTGAGGGATGCTCAGGGGAAGGTAGAGGTTTCTGGCATCTGCTGTTGTGCCTGAGTTTCCAGCACATTCTGGGGCTACTAGTCCCTCCCTGGTGCCCACCATCCACCCCCGCCCACCACCGCCTCTGTCTCTCCCTGCTCAGCCCGCACCCCCCACGACTCCTCTCCAACTCCTCTTCCCAACAGGGTTCATCCTGGCTAAGTGGATCTGGCTCCTACTCCGTGTTTTCCTTCCAGCCTCGACACTCCCACGGACTGGACTGGCGCTTCCTTCCAACTTACAGGCCTTACAGGTACAGAGGCTGCTCCTGGGGCCGACCTTGTGGAGTGCCAGGTCTCCCGCTGGGAAGAGGGGCAGGAGGGGGCCATGCCTCGGTGCCTCGCACAGCCAGCGGCCCCTGCAGAATTGGGGACAGATGGCAGGGGCTCTCCAAATCTGTCATTTGGAGGAGATTGTCCAGGCAAGGAGGGTTTCCAGCTCCGGTCTCTGGTGCGTCCCTGAGCTGACAAGGGAGGTGAAGCTGCAGCCCCAGCAGCCCATGCCGTTCCCTGTCTCTAGAGACCCAGCCCTGGCCAGTGTGGCCCTCGTGGCGGGGCTGATGGGGTTGGCGTGGACCTGGAGGCTCTGGTGGCCTGGCCGCCGGACAGCCCAGTGCAGCCGCTGGTGAACGCCACCCACGCGTGGCCGCTCTCCGGGGGCTGGGCCTGCCCGTCACCAGCCAGGTAAGCGGTGGAGGGGGTAGGAAAAGGGTCTCCCTCCAAGTCCTGTCACCTCCCATCCAAGTCCCGATGTGCAGAGGACACGGATGTCGTGCGCACGACCGACGGGCGGCGAGGCCTGTGTCCCTCTGGCACTCTACAGTTTGCAAAGGCCTATGGACACTGCTGTCCCGTGCTGGATAGCACCCGGGCCCAGCCTCACCTGCAGAGCGCACGCCACGCCGGCCGCCCTGCCGGGGTTCACGTGCCTTTGTCGGTTTCATCCTCCTTGCACCCCGGAGAGAGGCAGGACGGTGGTCCTTACGAAGGCCCAGGTCCCAGCTCTGCCGCGTGCCTGCTGTGTGGCCTTGGGCAAGTCCCTCAGCCTCTCTGTGCCCTCATCGCCTCACCTGCAAAGCGAGGATGAGACTTTTCCCTGCATCTCAGAGGTTGTGCGGGTTGAGGTCGTCGGCACCAGCAATGGCTGGGCAGAGTGGGTGCTTGAGAAACGTTTGCCGCGATGATGATGATGATGATGATGATGAAGGTGGGGTGATGGTGACAACCTTTGTCATCGTCGTCACGTCTGGGCCGCACATGGGAGTTTAGGTGACTTGCCCAAGGTCACGTAGCGAGTAGGCAGCAAAAGCGGGACTCAGGCTCGGCACCCGGGCCCTTGCTCAGGGTGGGGGCGTGAACCCGCCATGGGCCCCTGCCCTGGCCACCGTCCCTTGGCACAGACTGGCCTCGCCTGGCCGGGCCCGCCACCTCCTCCAGGAGCCGCGGACACCCGGCGCCCCAGCCTTCCCTGAGCTTCCGTCTGCAGTTATCCAGCAACCCCACCCCAGCCGCTCTGCCGTGGGAGGAGGGGGTGTTCCCGGGGCCCGGGGGCCAGGATGTCACCCCCCATGCAAAGGATCTCAGCCCTGCACCCCACGACTCAGCAGACTGGATGCCCTCTGCCCCCCACTTCGTCCAAACCCCCTCTCTTGGCCTTGGGGCCGGGTGGCGGGGAGATTTCCGGGCGCTCACTACCTGCTGAGGTCTGGGCTGCAGGGCACGTTGGGGGCTCTGCCGACCTACCGTGGGTCCTTTCCTTACCGTCCCAGGGACGTCAGACAAGCCAGGCCGGCGGGTGTCGGCAGTTATTGCGCGGTGCTGGGCTGGGGACAGGGACACGCTGGGCTGTGTCCCCACCTGGCCCGAGAGGCCCTGGGGCCGTGGGCCCCACGCCTCACTCCCTGTTCCCTCCTCAGCTCCGAGGACTCTGGGCCGAGGAAGAGAGGAGCGCCTCCCTGCAGCTCCCCTGTGACTCTCAGGCCACCTTGGTCCTCAGCATCCGTGGCCAGAACCCGGCAGGCAGGTGAGGGGCTCCCTGGGCTCTGGGGACCCAGGAGGAGAGAAGATGAGAGAGTACCCAGTGGCTGGGCACCTACTGTGCGCCAACGTCTGACACACTGTGCGTCCTTGAATCTTCCAATCAGCCCCACTGCATGAATGTGGAAAGGGAGGCTCAGAGAGGTCAAGCAACTTTTCCAAGGTCACACGGCCATTTAAAAGAAAACAAAACAAAAAACCCTTGCTCTCTGGGGGGCAGGGCTTGGATGAGTTCTTGGTCTCATAAAGTAAGTGCATCCCAGGCCCCCAACACCTATCGATACCTGTCACAGCTCTCAGGGCCGGGGCCTGGCACGCTGCCTGGTGCTGTGACATGTGCACTAAGTCCGCGGGCCACCTGCCGGGCTCAGGCACTCAGACCAGTGGTTCTCACCTGGGGGCAGGTTTCCCCCCAGGGGCATTGGGCAGCGTCTGGGGAGACTCCGGGTAGTTGCAGCCGGGGAGGGGTCTCCTGGCATCAGGTGGGGGGGCAGGGATGCTGCTGAATGGCCCCTGCACACAGACGCCCCCCCAGATGGACCCCGCGCACAGACGCCCCCCCCAGATGGACCCCACGCACAGATGCCCCCACAGATGGACCCCACGCACAGACGCCCCCCCCGCACAGACGGCCCCGCAACTAGGCGGCGTGTGGCGGGATGCCCGTGGTGCCAGGCTGAGACGCTCCAGTGGAGAGGAGCTCGCAGGAGGGTGCAGCACCCAGGGGCTCGCAGCAGTGGGGCGCCATTACAGCCCTGGCCTGGCGAGGGAGGGCAGGGGGTGTTACGTGGAGAGGACCCCTGGGAGGGGCCAGGGGCTAAACAGTCACTGTCCAGACCCTCTGGGGCTCCCATGGGACAACACCAAGGCAGTCTATTGAGGGGCTCGTGGAGGACACGCAGCCCAGAACCATGCTTACCCGTTTCTACCAATGGGGAAACTGAGGCTCAGAGGAGGGCGACTGGGAAACTTGCCCGTGGAGCCAGAGCCAGGCAGAGGTGGGCTCAGGGATTCACCTGGCTCCGGAGTCCAACCCTAACCGCCGCGCCATGTGCCCCTCAGGCCGTAGCTGAACGGCCCTTCGTGGGCTGCTGGCGAGTTCCCGGCGCTCTGGGCCGCTCCTGGGGAGGCTGCCCTGGCGCCAGCGTCCGGCCCTGCCCTCCCTGCCTCCCAGCAAGCGGCTGCTCGCAGCCCGGCCTCGCCCCCCCATCCTCGCTCCTCCGCCCCCGTCCGGCCTCGGCCTCCACCAAGGTAACTGCGCCCCGGCCAGCGCTCCTAACGGGTTCCAGATGCCCTGCCCGAGGGTGTGTGAGCACTCCACATCTGTCCGCGCCCGCTCGGGCCCCACCGGGCCACCCTCGGAGACCCCGGCTCCAGCTTTCCCAAACATTCCCAGGTTTACATTCCTGGACCGGCCCCCCAGCCCCCGCCGGGCCCACAAGACCCTCGGGGGCGGGAGGCGGCCTCCCCCAGCGCCTGGCGTCGGGCACCGCCCCCCCGCCCGGCCTCCCAGCAGCCGGACCAGATGCCACAGCCTTTCGGGCTGAGCCAGCGCCGCCTGCACTTCCGCGCTGCGTGCGGTACCTGGGGGTGCACAGGGGAGGGTCCCTTAGACTCGGGCTGGGCTTCCTCTCTCCCGCTGCCTCTCGTCGTCTCTGTCCCTGTCTGCCCCCCTCCTCAGATCAGGAGCTTCTAGGGGTGTGCCCAGCACCCCGGGCACGCAGTAGGTGCTCAGTAAAAGGTGTTGGGTGAATGAGCGGTTACACCTGCTGACTGGGCACTTCACTTCCCCGCCAGCCACTGAGTTTTGCTAAATGTCCTCCTGTCCCTGGCTCAAGCCACCTTTGTTTACAGAGCACCTGCCGTATGCCGGGCCCTCTGCCACGTTCACGCACGGTTTTGCCGCGCCCCCCCCAGCTTCTCTGCAACTGTGCGGTCACCCAGGGGGCTGCTTAGTTTTTCCCCAAGTTTTATTTCGAATCATTTCAGCCTATATAAAAGTCACTGTAGGACAGTGAACATTCACCAGTCGTTTGTATCTTGCCACCTTTCTCTGCTTATCTGTGACATAAATGTGTATAGTTACACACTTTTTTCTATATCATCGAGTGTTAACATAGAGATATCTCTGGAGACATCGTACCCCTTTACTCCTAAATGCCCCAGCAATTGTTTCCTGGAACAAGGATATTTTCTTTTTCAACACGGTAGAATTACAAAATTCAGGAAATTTAACATTGAAATGGCACCATCATCGAATGTACAGTCTGTGGTAAAATTTCCCGGTTGTCCCAATAGTGTTCTTTCACACGGTTTTTGTTTGTTTCAAATCCAGGATGCAATCCAAGATCGCACAGGGTGTGTAGTTGCATGTCTCTTTGATTTCCTTAATCTAGAACACAAGTCTGCTAATGTTTACTGTAAACGGCCAGATAATACCTTTATTTTTGGCTTTGCAGGCCACACGATCTCTGTTGCCACTGCTTCACGCTGCCAGTGTAACACAAAAGCAGTTGTAGACAGCAGGTAAGCAGATGAGCACGGCTGTGTTACGATAAAACTTTATTTACAAAAGCAGGTTGTGGGCGGCATCTGACTCAAAGGCTAACTCCTGATCTAGAACATTCTCTCCACTCCCTACCCTTCCTCCACCAACATTTTATGACAAAACTTTCAGACATCAAAAACCTGAAATAATTTTACAGTGAACAGCCACGTACTCAGATTTCCCCATTCCTATTAATATTTTACTGTCACACAGCTCTCCACCCACCCATCCGTCTTATTTTTGGATACATTTCAAAGTAAGTTGCAGTTATCAATATATTTCCCCCTAAACATGTCATTAGCATTAAACCACTGTAAAAAAAAATTCCTGCATCGACAGTTTTGAAGTGTCCAGGCAATTATTTTACAAAATATCCTCCTAATGTGGACTTGTCAGAATGTTTGCTCCAGATGAATGTTTTTGACAGGGGCATCGCTAAAGTAATAATGTATCTGCTGAGCTCGTTAAAAATAGCAATTCTTGAACCTTTTCCCAGAGATTCTGTTTTCACAGGTTTTATGTGGGAGCTCAGAATCTGTTTTTAGTGAGTGCCCCAAGTGACTCTGCTATTCAGCCAGAATTTCTAGAAGTTAGCGCGTTATTTCATACGATTTTCACAACAACCCGTTAATAGGTGTCATTATGCCCATTTTTTGGATTGGACAGCTAAGGCTCGGGCGGTTCAGGAACTAGCTGGAGATCACCCGCCCCATGTGTGGAGCGGCCAAACTGGGAGCCCTGTTCCAACACCGGAGCACGGTCCCCTGTGCTACTCTGGCCCCTGTCGCCCACCCCGGCACTACAACTAGAATTCTTGCCTGCTGGCCCCAGGCCAGTGTCTACCTTCAAGTCAGTGTCAGGTCAGGAAGGACAAGGGGAGATGGTTGCCGTGGCCACACCTGGTGGCACCAAACTGAGGCTCAGGACCCTCGTGTCATCCGAGTTCATCCAGCCCGGGAAGCGGGGGTCTCTGGGGCCCGGGGAGGCAGAGCGCGCAGCCGGGAGCCAGCACCTGCCTGAATATTCCATCGGAGACGTGGGGAGCTCTCGCCTGTGTTTCTCCGGCCCAGCTGCGGCACTCCAAGGTCCGTGGGGAGGGCGCGAGGAGCCGCGTTTGTATTCTTGGGGTGGAGGAGCTGGTCACGCTCTCCACGTGCGCTCCAGGATGGGTGGGCCGCTTCAAGGCCGGTCCTTGCGCCATGCGCATCCAGCCTGGAGCAGCAGCCTTCCCGCAGGTGTGCGGGGGACAGCCGGGGGAAGGGGGGCTCCTGGCACTCTCTTAGAGAGAGAGAGTGCCCGGACGGATCCTGGCGCCTCGGGCGACCACGCGCCAGGTGGGGCTAGGAAGGGGCACAACTGGCTGGAACGGATCCTCGGCTGCTGTCTCTGCCCACCCTTCCCTCCTTCCTTATTTACTGGGCATCTGCACAAGGGCAGCCCGCATTTCCAGGAGGCCTTGGGATGTCTACCAGGACAGGGCAGCTGAGTCCTGGCACTCATCGAATGTATCAGTGGTCTTAGTAGAGGAGATCTTGACAACAAAAAAAAAAAAATTCATACAATATTGCAGATACACTGGATAGTGGATGATATGGTTATGAAAAACAAGACGTGGGCACCAGTGGAGGCTGATATGTGACCAGAAACTGTAATTTGGATTAGGGGGCCAGAAGGTGCCACCTGAGGACGGGTGACTGACGTGAGCTAGCCCTGGGGGTCAGTCATTTGAAAAATCTGGGGAAGAGCATTCAACCAAAGCCCGGGAACAGCATGTGCCAAGGGCCCTGGGGGAGGAATCGGTTTGGCCCGTGTTTGGAGGAGATGGCCTGATGATGCCACTTGGGGGCAGAGGCTCAGTGGGCTGACAGGGGGGGCAGGCCAGAGGGAGCAGTTGGCCATTTCGATGTCGTACTCTGTTGCCGGAAGCTTTTGAGGACATGTCAAGTAAGGTGATTTTCAGATCGCATCTGGCTGCTGTGTGGGGAGGGCCTGCAGGTGCGCGAAGAGAGCCAGCGAGGTAAACCCGGGCTGGGCAGGGCAGGAAATCGATTGGTCTTGGACCAACACGGAGATCCGGAGTGGTGATGCGGTTGAGGGATTGCTGAGAACAAGCTCCACCTAACCCTGCAGGCCCCCAGAGTGTCCTCTGGGTGCTGACGGGAGTCTCGGTGTGCGGGTGAGTTGTCCTCCTGGGGCTGGCGGGAGTCTCGGTGTGCGGCGCGAGTGTCCTTCTGGGGCTGCGGGAAGTCTCGTGTGCGGGCGAGTGTCCCTCCGGGGGCTGCCTTTGGTTTTGTGTTCTTGTTTTTTTGTGCGGCGAGTCCTCCTGGGGCTGCCGGTGAGTCCCGGTGTAGCGGCGGAGTGTCCTCGCTGGCTGCGGCGCCCGCGCGTCTCGGTGTGCGTGCGCGAGTGGTCCTCCTGGGCTGCGCAGGTGGAGCTGTCGGTGCGGCGAGTGTCCTCCGGGCGTGCGGGGAGCCTCGGGTGTGCGGCGGAGTGTGCCTCCCTGGGGCTGCTGGCGGTCTCGGCGTGCGGGCGATTGTGTCCTCGCTGGGGCTGCTGGCTGCTCGGTGTTGCGGCGGTGTCCCTCCTGGGGTGCTGGCTTGGTCTCGGCGTGCGGGCGAGTGTCCTCCTGGGGCTTCTGGTGGTCTCGTTGGCGTGGCCGGAGTGTCCTTTCCTTGGGGCTGCTGGAGTCTCGGCTGTAGCGGCGGAGTGTCCTCCTGGGGCTGCTGGGGGTCTTCGGTGTGCGGGGCGATGTCTCCTGGGGGCTTGCCGGGAGTCGTGCGGCGGGTGTCCTCCTGGGGCTGCCGGGGGTCTGGGTTGCGGGTGGAGTGTCCTCCGGGGGCTGCGGAGCCTCGGTGTGCTGGGCGAGTGTCCTCCTGGCTGTCGGGAGTCTCGGTGTGCGGAGAGTGTCCTCCTGGGGCTGCTGGAGTCCTGGTGTGCGGGGCGAGTGTCCTCCTGGGCGCTGCCGGGTCTCGGCGTGCGGT